ATATATATATATATACCTAAAAGAATAATCACGTGATTAGTGTATATATAATGTGAAATTGGCCTTCAATATGGGATGGGATATATAGCCCTTTGATAGACCGCGGAGAATTTGCACTTGCCGTAGTCTTTTTGAAGGGTGAATCTGAACTCAAAAATCATGTTTTTTTTTGTGGGATTAATTTAGTGTTAGCGAATTTCAATAATTCACGTTAGTGTGGTTGACACTTAACAAATACTAGACGGAGCGAGCAGTAGCCTGTCGAGAACCCTTTCGGACCTGAATTTTTCCCCGTGGAGAAATTTTTCTTCTAGCTATTGTTTATTACTTGTGAGCATATAGGTATCATTATGGCGAAATTTGGAAGCTATTCGATCACAAACAAAGAAACTAAGAAGCTTTGAAAATTGGCCCACCTTCTTAGTTTTTAAGCTTATGTCGAAACAATTCGAAATTTCATAGTTATGCCGAAAAAGTTTATAATCTTGCATAACATTATAACCCATAATTTTGATTTAGGAATGGATCTACTTCAAGTATTTTAAGAAAAAGTCACACTTACTTGGCCGGTTGCGGGGGTCAGCGCCGATTCATTGTTGCACTTGTACACAAATACTTGTAATACTAACAGCAACACACAATGAAATGGCAGGTTTAGCTCATAATTAGGAAGGGGAAGGTTGACTGAAGCAACCTCTAGCAGGATTAGAAAAACCATGCTGTTTCAGCGGCAATGCAAGCGTTTGAATTTGGTGGTGGCAATTGCCACCGCCAGGGCCGAAAGGGTTAATCTCAACCTTAAAAGCAACGTAGCATGTAATTTTACTAGGTCAAAAAGGTTTGAATGTCAAAGTATTGTAAGCCTAGTTTTTTCTTCTTATCCCTTGTCGTCGAAATCTTCCCCCAGTATTGAGTGGCCGGGTCGATTTTTTTGCAGTTGATAGTATTGATGGGCGGTATCGCCACCGAGGGGTGTCGCGGTTCAAGCGCCCAGCGCGTTTAAACGTGTACTTTTGTTTAAGGAGTCCTTTGAAGAAGGATTCGCTAGCGGCTTCATTCCTACGCTATCACATCAATTTCCTTTGTCGGTGTAATCATAAGGTTTCCTATGACTAAGCTTAAAAATGGAGGAATTCCGGAGAAAATGATGATTGCTTGTGTACTCTTAGTCCCTCGTCCCACTCCCTGCACTCCTCCTCCTTGAAAGCAGGTGACACGATTAACTGAACGCTGAAGAGAAGGTTATGAGCCTACTATAAAGGAAAGCTAAGACCGCCGTCACACTCGGCGACGGACGAGCGATGACGGCGCTCTAAGCGTTAGCGATGTTATGGGCGTCCTTCTTTTTCCGAGGGAAAAAGAAGAGGACGCCCATAACATCGTAACAACTCTGCCCATTCTTATAGGGCATTCGTTCCTCTGCCATCTTTGATGGCTGTCTCCTAACTGGGGAAATCGACGGGAAGGTTATCTTATTTTGTGTGTTCTATGCCGTTTAGCTTAATTTTCTATGCTATACCTCTTATCAGCTGTATTTTCATTATTAAAAGGCGACCAAGTTATCATACCATCTACATGCAAGCAGGTGTCAGACTTTGCGATCAATTACGCGATTCGAGGGAAGCGAGTGAGGCGCCAGCGATTCTAGCAACGCGCTAGCTATCAATTATTGGCGCAGGCAGGTACGGTGGCGCTCCGCTCGTGCCACTCAAGTCGCCAGCGAGTGATCGCAAAGTCCGACACCTCTGTAAGGCTCAGTTTTTATTGTGAACGTTACGAACAGTCTCTCATTCCGATGGCTTACGAATGCTCTTTTGACCGTCCTTTACCACCGCGTGCTTATTTTTGTTTTCTCAATTTTTTCGAATGCGAGGCAGCGTCAGGTTCAAAATTGGAGCATACTACTTTTTATAAATGTTCATAACAAAAAGTCTGCCGCGTCTTCGCAAATGCGCTGTCGAGATGGCACTTGCCTAAGAATAGCGCCAAAAGATCCACTTGAATAGGTTGGTAGCTACTTTCATTACATTCATTAAAAAAGCTGCATGGGAATTTAATCTCATTCAGCATTCTTCACTTAGTGCGAACTTAATGCTGTTCAGAAATTTGGTTCCCTACGTTGCAGCATTTCGCTTAAGAATTCGCAGAATGATTACAGGTAGTGCCCGTACCTGGGGTTTTCACTCGTGGTCGGTGGAAGTGCCGTGACTATCGTGAGGATGACCATCCAGACTCTCGCGACCAAATTCTTGATTTTACTGATATACGAGAACGAGAAGGTTTGTTGATGACTACATTAGTAAAACTTAGTGTCAGGTTACCTCTGACGTCATTTATCTTGTTGTCATTAGTTCCTTATAAAATGTTTTTAAGTAGGAGGCGAAGCTGCTAATCCCGTAGAAAAGTCGCAGTCACATGAGAAACCAACTGAGATGAAGCCCATCGCGGAGTCAGCTCCAGTGAATGATCCGAATCCTTCTCCTTTAGTGAGTTTCCATTTTTAAAACTTTGAGATTTTCCATCACAAAGAGGGAATACTGTACGTCCAGCCGTCTTGATTTTTGGTTGTTTCACTTCACTCAGTAAGCTTGAGGCTGCTTTCAGTTTGTTTAAATAAATACATACAGACTCGAACTATCGTTCTTGTGATACGACGCTATGGCCGGACGCATAGTCGGTCGGACGACAGCAACGACCGCTGCTGTCGGACGACAGCAACGACCGCAGGTGTCGCATAAACCGCGGTCGCAAATGGAAGGCGACGCGGTCACCCAATGCTAACCCAGACAACACGTGACTGCGCGTGATCGTATTT